TTTCTTTCTTTCTTTCTTTCTTTCTTTCTTTCTTTCTTTCTTTCTTTCTTTCTTTCTTTCTTTCTTGTTTTTGTTTCTTTGTTATTGTTATTCTTATAAAACTGTGTTTCTCAGTTTCTTTCTTAACCTGGATATCACCCAAATAATTGGGACCCCATTATATTACTTTTAACAACTTCACAGCACAAACCTGAGCAGTATTAACTCCATTCTTAATCCTCTAAGCTAATATGGTTTCCTCCCAGTGCACATCCAAGCCTTGTATGTGCTGAGCACTCATTTTGCCCCAGAAGTATATTTCCAGCCCATGGCAATGGTTTAGTTTTCTGCGTTACGAGTCCTGTTGGAGGAGAGTGGAGGTGCTGCCGGTGTTGGGGAACCCTCCCTGTCTGAAGGAGGAGAAGTCCTGTAGGAATAAGAGAAGATCTTACCTGGAATAGGCCCAAGGGAAACCGTGTTGTTCCATTGGGAACATCCTTGAGAAACAAGCCGGGGTTGCACTGAGGAGGGTAAAGTTCATGAGCCGTAAATTTAGCTTGCTGGGCACACAAACGCTTCTGCCACAAGACTACACCAAAGGGTGCAAGCAAGCTGGAGGGGCCTTCTATGCAGAGATCACTAAATGGGGGAAAACTGCATGAAGCAAGGGTTCCCACTCTCCCTAGTAAAAGTTGACTGGGAAATAATTTTTTTTTTAAAGATGGTCTGTGGCTGCTTTAGAGGGTACAGAGAATAGTAGTACTATTAAATCGTTACATACTATTTATCAGACTTGTTTAAAATGACCAAGTATTTCGAATGATGGATGAAATGACCTAGATATTTAGAATGATGTATTTTAGATTCTGAAAGATCACAGCTGGTAACAAAACCTAATATACTCAGCAAAACTGTTGTAAGTTTCCATGATAAAAGCAGTCTAAAGGAATTCATGACTACCAAGTCTTTCCCACAGAATATGCTGGAGGGAATACCTAAGACTGAAAGGCAAATAAACCCAAGAGGCTACAAGAGGGATAAGAAAAGTGATGGTTAGCAGGAGAGAACAAAGAAACACCCGAATGCTGCAAATCAACAAACAAAATGACAGGAGTCGATATACACTTTTCAGTAACAACTGAATATTAAATTACTTTGATTCCTTCATCAAAAGATGAGAAAATAGTATATTGGATTAGAAAATAGGATTTTAAGATTTGTGCTTCCAAGAAATACATCTCATTATCAGAGATAAACACTGTCATAGTATAAAAATGATGAAGAAAGATATTCTGTGCAAATTGAACAAGGAACAGGTAGCATTGCTATTCCAATTTCTAACAAAATAGACTTGTCAGAAGAGATAGAGACACTTCATACTGATCAAAGAAATAATCCATCAGGAGGAAATTAGAATTCTAATACATACTCATCAAACACAGGCTAATACAGTTTCATAAAACAAGTGTCGTGAGATTTAGTGTCACAAATTAATCCTAACACTAATACAATGCTTATTAGGTAACTGAACAAAAATGAATATAGAAACATTAGAATCAAATTATATCATAGATCAAATGGACTTAACAGACATCTACAGAATATTCCACACAACCACCAAAGATACCAGCACATGGAACTGTCTAAAATAGACCATGTGTTAGGACACAAAACAAGTATCAACACGTGTAGGAAAATTCTGCATTCTTTCTGACCGTAATGTGGTAAAGCCATTAAAAAAAAAAAAAAAACCAGCAAGAGAAACTATAGAGAATTACAAACTCATGGAATTACAAACAACATGCTGTTAGATGATACATGTCATTGAAAACAAGTAAAGAAATGAAAGCCCTAGAGTTGAATGAAAAAGAACACAGTGTATAAAAAATTTATGGGATACAGTGAAGGCCAGGGGAAGCTTATAACTCATAAGAACCTACATAAAACAAAAACTAAAAACCAGGCATTGGTGGCACTTGATCCAGTAGTTGAGAGACAACAATCTCCTAGTTTGAGGCCAGCCTGCTCTACAGAGTGAGTTCCAGGACAACCTGGTCTACAAGAAAGAACCCTATCTCAAAAAACAAAGACAAATAACCCTCATGATGCACCTTAAGGCACTGGAAAAGCAAGAACTTTCCCAGAGAAATAGAGGTGGATAAAATGAAGGGCAGAGGATAAGTTAATAAAATAGGAATGAAAAAAAAGGTACAATGAATCAGCAAAGTATGTAATTGGTTCTTAGAGAGATAAACAAGATTGGTGAATTAGCCAAAAAGAAAGACCCAGATTGATGCAATCATAGATGAACAGGGAGGAAACCCAGAGACTTGGAAGGACATACCTTATATTCCACCAACTAAACTAGAAAATAAAAAAGAAACCTGAATTTCTAAATGATTCTGATCTACCAAAGCAAGATGAAGCCCATCATTAAAATAGATCTGTAACAAGCAACAAGGTAGAAAAAAAAATACTTAAAGTGTCCAGCTGAGACATTTAAACAGGTGTATTTAAACATACATGCTTTCACATCAACAGCATACACTGTCTCAGGACACCACCCACTCCCAACAAACCTCCCAGGATTGGAGCCAGCCCTTACAGCCACATTCCTGAGGTGTGGCCAGTGTCTGCAACATGACCATTGATGGCATGCCCATTGATGGAACCAAGTCTGTGTCCCAGGTTTAGAGCAGGAACATCCAGAGGCAGGAACTGCATTTGCAAGTCTATCACTGAAGGACCACCTGCAGGTGTGACCAGCATCAGCAACTGGCCCGTAGAAGATGGGCAGCTGGAGCATATGTGAACATACCTGGCAAAGGACCATTCAACAAGGGTGTGACAGCATCTAAGAGCTGAAGAAGGAATACCAAGAGAGTCAAGATAGGAATCAGGAAGCAGGCCAGAATAGATGTATTTTATACATCTATTGGGGGTATTTTATACCCCCAACAAGCTCCCTCCCTTCCTTTCCCTTCCCTTCTTTTCTTCTTTCCTTTCCTTTCTTTCCCTTCCCTTCCCCCAGCTTCTTGTTCCTATATAACTCTGCCATCTCAGCTATGCAATATCTTTTGTTCCATTGGTTCTCTGCTCCTCTTGCCCTTCCATCTTTTGCTCCCTTGGTGTATCCCGTGTGTGTGTGTGTGTGTGTGTGTGTGTGTGTGTTCTTCTTTCTCTGTCTTCTTTGATCTCTCTCTCTCTCTCTCTCTCTCTCTCTCTCTCCCTCTCTCTCTGCTACCCAACAGTACTCCTGACCCACACCCATGTCCAAATCAGTTTGCTTCTGTCATGTTTAGTCTACTATATTCTCTCCCTGTTCTGGTGTCTTCCAGATGCTTCTGGCTGTATCTCCCTCATATCTACCATAAAATCCTCAACCTTATACCTTGTACCTTGGATTGGTCATATCCTGATTTCATTCACCTGCTAGGACAGTAACTAAGTAAATTAAAAATAATTAAAAAAAAAAAACTACCACCTTCTCAAAAGGACAGAAATCAACCACACCTTTCTGTAGAAGGAATCTCTTATGTCTATATGGAAGCGTCACCTGTCAATAAAAAGCTAATGGCCTATAACTGAGGCAGGAAACAAAAGGTGGGGCATTGGCAGGCTTGGATTCTGGGATAGAGCAGGTGCAGGAAATTCTGGGAAGTTACAAGGAGGACAGAGACATGGTACTTGGGTAGAGGTAACCAGCCATGTGGCAGAATGTAGATTAGTATAAATGGGTTATTTTAAGTTATGAGCAAGTCAGAGAACAGCCTAGCTATATGGCCCAAATATTTGTAAAACTACTTTGAGTCTCATGAGTCATTATTCTAGAAGTTTGAGGTTGGGAGGAAAAAAAATAAAACCACCTTTCAGTAATAACGGACAATTAATGATCTCAGCTTTCCAACCAAAAGACATCAATTGGTAGACAGGATTAAAAACCAGAGTCCAGGTCTAGAGATACAGCTCAGCAATTAAGAGCACTGGCTGCTCTTCCAGAGGACACAGCTTGAATTCCCAGCACATGGTGGCTAACAGCTAACAGCTTCTACTACTAATAATAAATAGATGACTTTAGCACCCCACACTCACATATTGACTCGAGTGACTGCTACTGCACAGATAAGGCAGAACCATACGTCACCCAAAGATCTCCCTGTATGCACCACCATTGACTTTACTCACAACCCACTACTCGCGACTCCAGCAACCATTAATCCATTTCCAGCCGTGTGGGCTTGTCATTTTATCAATGGAATCATCC